TTTTTAATAAAGGAGAGTAAGGTGAATTAAATTAGATTTGTTTCCTGTTTGTGATCTTTGTACAATTGATTTTTACTCTAAGGTTCAAAATGTGATGTAAGTGATATTGCTTTATTATTTGAAGCTAAAAATTTAGTTTGATAGAAAATTCATACTTTAGGCAAATGATAGAATTATTTACATATTTGTTTTCATAATATACACATTTTCTATTTTAGTTTCATAGTTACTGTTTTATATTTCAAAATAAGCTGTTTTAAATTTACATTAATTTTTTATCTACTGATAATTTAAATATTTTTAGATTTACTTGCTTTCCAATGTTTATATTAGGCTAAATATATGTGAAGAATTGCAGAATGTAGAATGGGACTCACTAATGATTATGTAACCATTATTTTATGTCCATCATGTACATTTCAAGAACATCAAACAAAGTAAACGTATATTAGACCATATGTTGGATGCATGGAATTGATCAATTAATGTTTTAATTTCCAAGATAATGCCTTTATAGTTCCATATGGTTTTTTGCATTAATTATATTTTCATCATAGAGATTTACTTTTCTGGTTTTTTTAGAACACATTGATGCATGTATACATTCTTAATCTGCTTTTAACAAAATGTTAAGAGCAGTTTGTATGAGCTGGGTTATAGAACATTTTAAGTGTTATGTGTTAAATAAAGAAAAGCATACCATAGTGATATTTTAAATGTTATGTGTTGTCAACACATTTTTTTCTTAAATAACATATGAATATAGTGTTTGTATATTTTAAAAAATATCTTTGTTTTCAGTATTTCAGAAAAGCAGTGATTTATCTTTTAACAGCATATATTCTAAAAAACAGACTATAATGGAAACTACCTTCCCTTAAAATGGCCAGGCGTGTGATCCATAATGTTCATTGGTAATAAAATCAATAGAGCATTGATTCTAAGCTTAATACTTGGAGACTGTTTAGAGTGGCAGAAATAGCCTAGTAAATATCCAGTTCTGTTAAATGTGTTCAGTGCATGAGGTTTTGCTGTCTTAAATTGGGCTGTACACTGAGTACAGTTTATATGTGGGATAGAAAATAGTCGCTGTTAAGAGAGACGTAGTATTTCATCAATGGTAGTGATAAAATATTTGATATAAAATTCATAACTGTGAGTCCTGCTGTGTTTTCTTTCAGTACAGATCAAATTTAATACTTAGTAATGCTCTTAGGTAATGGTTGCTACTTTCTTAGGTGTTCTTTATTAATAACCACACTTTTTACATGAAGTTATTTCATGGGAGAGGTTAGTTGAAAATAATGATTTTTATAGTCACCTTTTGTTCCCCTCAACAAATCTGAAGTGCATTATAGATTTAGAATAAATTCAAGACTTAACATTCATTGGATTTCATTCAATTGTTGTCAACTTGCATTATAGCATTTGAAACCTTTTTACCAATCCATTTGTAATTTAAAATGAGTCCATTTTTACAAAGATAGATTTAAATATAAATTTTTGAAGAAAGGAATGATAGCTTTTGATGAACTCATATTATTATGTTTTTCTATTCGTGTTCAAGAATTGCTATAATATTGAAAAAGGAGAATATTTAAATATTGAAATTTTTTGGTCCAGCCACTACACATTTTAATTTGTAGACTCTTGTACACAATTTGTCTTTTAAGAGTTTAGTACTAATTAATTTCCTTTGCTCTAAACATTAGTTATTATGATGTCTATTGTTATTAATAATTTAAGTTTATCTAAATCAGGTTTTCTAGATTTGCTAATAAAATATATTTTGAATTTATAATCACTATTTTTCTGCAGAAAAAAAGTTGCCTGTAATAAGTCCTCTGCTTTATTTTTTAAGCATATTTCCAAGGTATCAATTTAATAACTATAAAAGTAGCTACTGCAGTTGTTGCATTTAAATTGATTTACATGTCAAGACTGGCAGTTTAGCAGCTGCGCTATTATTCTTAGATCGGTCAATTTACTTGAGAAAAACCTACTACTGAGTGCTACTGACCTGCCTGACAATATAGGCCCTATTTCTATTCCTGTAATTAGGCCTGCGACTAACTCAGAATATTTTTAATTAAAATATTTTGGTCAATGTGTTGCACCAAATTAGGCCTTTCAGTGAAGATTTAATTCTGGAAATAGTGTGATTAGAATATTTAATGAGTTGTGTTCCACTAAGATTAACAGGTTGTGTGTTTGAATGAACAGTGTTTGTGACCATTTTGAGTTTTACAATCCTAAGTGCTACTCCTGATTTTTAACCTTAAAAATATTTGCCGCAATAACTGTCTGACAGGTATATTTAAATTTAACTGAAGTTTTATTCTAAAGAAAGCTGATTTAAATGCATTTTTAGGAAAGCTTTTATTTATGATCTCCCCTTCCAGCAAAGCCAAAAGTGAGAAAATTGCCACTTAAATGTTTGCAAATAAACAGTTTTATTTAGAAATCTGACATAAGCATAGGTTGTTTACACATCTCTAATTTGGCATTTTTTAAATTTTCTAACATAATGTGAGTAATAACAAAATTAAAAGAGGCTCATTTTATGGGCTTTTACATTATTAAGAAGTTTTGATAAAATAATATATATATTTCAACCTTGAACCATAGTACAGAGGTGGGGGGGAAAAGCATTGACTAGAAAATTTACCCTGAATTTGATTCAATTAATGTATAATTCATGGTAACAAATAGAGCTCTTATCTTGATTTCTCGCCCCCCTCCCCCCCCCCCCCCCCCCCCCCCC